AAGTGAAATATAGTATTGGGAAGCCCAGAAATATCTCAGAAGGGACTGGGACAAGGGTTCAATGAGCTTTAAACTTTTCTTAAAGGCAGCAAAAAGCTACTGATAATTTTTGAGCAAACTTGATATAATAAAACACTGCTCGAGAAAATTAAAAAGAATAATTTTCAAATCACCCCAAATAAAGAATGCACGTGACCTATTCATGGAAGGTCAGGGCCAAGAAGGACAGGCTTGTCTTCAAGTCGGTGTTCTTTTTATTTCATTAAACTAATAACTCTCTGTGTAATTTTCTTTAAAGTACAAATTTTAAACTAGTTGAATACCGCAGCCCAATAAAATGAAGCTTAATATGAAAACTTTTCATACAGGAGCTCTTCTGTGTAGTAATTCTTCCTCATTAGCAGCCATGGAGCAAGCCTACAAAGGCTTTCCCTAATTAATAAGGAATTTCATCCCAGAAGTAATGTGGTTTTTCTAGGATCATGGAAAAGATGAACAGTAAAATAAGAAGTCTCTGTACGGTCTGATTTGACCTGCCAGAAACCTGGCTTATTGGTTACCACACCTGCCAAAACCCACCATTATTAGCTCAGACAGGAGGCCCACACAGCATGAACACTTGGAGCGCTCTCTATTTCTCTCTCTCTCTCTCTCTCTCACTCACTCACTCACAAGATTTTTGGGTTTTTTTTTGTTTTGTTTTGTTTTGATTTTGAGATGGTCTCACTGTGTATGGTCTCTCATTGTGATCTGCCTCTCTCTGCTTCTGAGTGTTGGGATTACAGATGTGTGCCACAATTCCCGGCTTCCTCCTTTAAAGTCATAATCATACATTAAAATATTGGCTCAGACCATCAATTCTGTTCCGAAATGGACCACCTGTGATAATACGGGTGACATACAGGAACCTGATTGCTCGATCCATTCCATTTGCAAGCGATCTTCTTTCCCCCGAGGCCGTGCTAGGGTCCCTGGGAAGGACTTCTCGGCTGCCACCGAGATGCTATAGTAGGACCATGGTGGTGGCTATAGGAAGCAAAGTAGCCCTAGGCCCCGTCAGAAGGACCTCGGGAAAGGTGAAGACAAAAACAGAGCTTATAGTCGGGCCCAAACTGCCCGGTAAGCATCTTGGGGTGCCCTGGGTTTCCGTGACTTCTGCCCTATGTCTCCATGGCTACCCCTGCCCCCGCACCAGCAAGATGGGAGCCGCTTTGTCTTGCTTACTTTGAATGTTCTTGGGAAGAAATCTTTCTAGAACTTATGTGTGTGTACCAGGGGATAGCGACAGAGACAGCTTTCACCTGGATGTCTGATGTTCCCTCACTCCTGAGCAGGACGCTGCCGGGTCTTCCTTGCTTATTCTTCTCTTTAAAGAAGCCTGTTTCATGTGTTTTGTGGATAAAATCCAGAACTAAGAATATGAAAGTATAAAAATGAATGTAGATGGTGCATCGTGAAGGTTAAACCCACTTACAAAGCAGAGAAGTCATTTCATCTGTCCCCAAGTAGAGACAGATTCGGTTCGTTACAAGAAAACAGATCTCTTCACAAGCAACTGGGAAAATACCATGAAAAATTTTAAAAAGTACATTTTCATATACTCAAAGAACTGCTGTCAGAAAAACACAAAATGCCTTGTTTTTTCCTAGCTGGGCACTGACTACACTTTCCAATGATCTTGGCAATTACTCTGCAAAATTTAATTAGCTCACTTTCTCTGGCTTAATTTTCTGTTTAAGTTTACCAATGATTTGACCTTTAGCCCTCTTTTGCCGTCTCTCCTTGTTTTTCCAAAATTGTGTGGGCATCTGCCCTTCATTTGTTTCATTCCCTGGGACAAAGTTATTTCACACACTCAACTTTGCTAATCAGTCTGGGGACAGACAATATATTGTGTTTGAAATATCTCCTAAGCTTGAGAGAGAGAGAGAGAGAGAGAGAGAGAGAGAGAGAGAGAGAAACACCAAAAATGTTCCTCAAAGAAAAAAGGAAAAAATTGATTAACTTGAGGCAAAATAATCCCATGGGGCATTTCCATCTGTCTTTCTAGACACGGATTTCGTGGACAATCCTACAGCATGCCCTGTTTAAATACCCTGCGTATTCACTCAATACATTTCCAGATCTGGCCTCACTTACTGCACTTCAAAAGATTTGGTTAGCCTTCCAGGAGATCCAAAATCTCACAATGCTAAAGTGTTATCAGAATACAGTCCCAATCCACCGGGTTTGCCATCTCTTCCTTCAGATAACTAAGACCCAGAAGTCTGCTGTTTCCTTCCCATCCAAAGGAGATGTATTTAAGAGCAATCTGTGGAGGAAATGGGAGTTGAGGGCCCCAGTTAGTCCCAGGGACCAAGCAACTAGTTAATCGGTGGAGAGAGAACAGTGGCATCTTCTGTCCCCAAATTGTCTTTAAAAAAAAAAAAGTATACTCTAAGACTCAAAATAGTAGACCCAGCCTTGCGTATCAAAGTTTAAAAGAACAGAAGGTTAAAAAGAAGTAACTTCGGTGGGGAGGATGCGACTAAATGTTTTAAGCACGGAGCTGCCATTCTTAATGTAGACCACAAATTGCTTAGGCCTGTGATCAAGCTCGACCCTGGCTCCCAGGGGGAGCGCCAGTGCTGGCCCAGCCCTGAGTGGCAAAGCTTGCGGGAGTGGGGGGGGGGGGGTCAGGGGGGAGCAGGAGTTCAACTTCCGATCTCCCTCCAACTTGAATGAAATGTAACTGCTCCTTCAGTTCTACTAGGGTTAAGGAGGGGGAGGAGCATGTGCTTTGGGGTACAGCTGGAAAGCATTAGCAACTCTGAGAGCATCTCAGTAACTCAGAGGGTGGGTGGCCTGGCAAAGCTCCTGGATCTCTGAGTGTAATCACAGGCTCTTAGCGCTGGGAGGGGTTTAATTTCCACCTCCTGCCCAGGATAGAACCCCCTTACAACTGCTCTGTTGCAGGCTTCCACCAAAGGCCCGTTCGTTCATCGCCTCCTGGGACGGCCCATTCCTACCAGGGTAGCATTGGTTCCTAGAAAGTTCTTGGCAAATTTACCTCTATGGCAAGTTTACCTTCCCAGTGCAGCCCCTTCCTCAGGTGTCAGGGCTCACAACAGTGCTGCTAGCAGAGACAAAGGACCCCTTCCCTCTGAGTTCTTCCTCCTCAAGGCCCTTTTCTGTCAATCCTGACTCCCGTGTAATGTCTCCCAGCATCCGTGTGAGCATGCCCCTGCTGGGCTGTGTGTATGGTTTAGAATCACGTTTGGAATCGCTTCTAAAAACAGGACCCAGACCTGAAGGCATTCCTACCGGTAGAGTCACCTGGAGCAGGTGTGTTTGTTTGTGGTGACTGTCGCACTTTGTAGACTTGACTAGCCTGGAAGCGGCGGTGGAGAACAAGCTGGTCCTAAAGATGCATGCGTTTGCCTACTGAACACTGGGACTGAAGGTGCACACCACCACAGCAGACCTTCAGGGCACACTTCTTAAACTTCCTACTCACAACCCATTTAGGGTCAGAAATCTTCATGTCACCTGAGTATGCCAGCGTAAAAAAGATACATAAATAAAATGCTTATCAATAATCATAAAACTATCATTTATGAATGACAAAAACAAGTTTGTGTGTTAATGAGATGGATATGCTTGTTTGTTTTTACAGTGAAAGAATTAAATCTTATCTAAATATCGGATACTGCAGGGACTCTTTAATACTTTGCGAAGTTGATCAACATTTAAACTCTGTAGTCACCCATAGGGAGAGCTCTGCTTCATGTAGACACGTGGCATAGGGACTCAGAGATGGACTGGCCTCTGTGAGCCCTTGCTGCTCCATCCTGTGAACCTGAGTTTGGTTCCCGGCCCTCACACTGCTCTAACCACCTGGAACTCCAGTTGCAAGGGACCCAGTTGCCTCGCCTGCCTCCTTGGACGTCTGAAAATGTGTCCATATACACGCACATGGACGTGTGCAGTTATGCAGTCGCTCAAGAACAAAATAAAATTTCTATCATATTCTTTCTCCACCACCATCCAACTTCATGTTCTTTCTCTCTTCTCTCTCTCTCTCTCTCTCTCTCTCTCTCTCTCTCTCTCTCTCAAAGTTCTCATTGTGTAGACCAGGCTGGCCTTGAACTCACAGACTTGTATTACCCACAATTTACAAAGCTGTGACTTGGGCGGGTGGGACCTTTCTATTTTGAGGGGAAAAAAATCTTTGCATCCAACCCTTTTTCAGACATCACCAGCAAAACATTTTGTTGGTGTTCTCAAGCAAAGTTTCCAATCTAGAAGGCCTTCCTATAGCTGCGACAAAGAGGGGACAGGAGACCAGAATGGATACACTCTGCTGGAGACAAAAGATGGGTCCTATAGCAAACCAGCGTCTAGGCCAAGGAGATTCTTCAGGACCCAAACAAAAGGGTCCCTTTGACTATAGCTTTCCCTGTCCAAACACCTTCCATGTCTTCCCACATCGCTCACAGATCCTCCGAGTCTGGCCCAGCCTACTTCTCTCTCCCTCTTAGCTGCCCAGGCCACCGTATCACCTTATCTTTGGCTCTGTAAACCCCACTCCTCTTGTTTGTCTCCTGGAATGTCTTTCCTGTCTCCTTTAGGAGTTTTTTCTTCCTGAGAAAATCATGGGGCATCAAGAAAACCAGTAGTTCCCTCCTTCCATTGATTCCAGATCACATTCTAATGGCTGGAGGTGGCTCTTTTCTCAAAATTATGTTCGATTAACTGATTGTCCAAACCAGAATAGGAGCTGGCCTTTATTATTTTTCTCTTTTAGCATAATTAAATACAACGGATGCCATCATTCTTTTGGTCTGAGGAACACCCTTGCTATGTCTTTACCCTCATTATATGGAAGGAATGGATCCAGGGTCAATTCAGACTCAGACTGTCACAGATTAAGTAAACGAATACTTAATGACCTAACGTGTCACCTCATATAGAAGCTGACACAGCAAGGGGGTAATTTTGACTTCATTTTGTGTTCCCAGCTGTACCTCAAATCAACTGTGATGTCAAAGCTGGAAAGATCATCAATCCCGAGTTCATGGTGAAATGCCCAGCAGGATGCCAGGACCCCAAATACCACGTTTACGGTACTGGCGTCTACGCGTCTTACTCCAGCGTGTGTGGCGCCGCGGTTCACAGGTGAGTGACTGCGACCTACTCAACAATCGGTGATCAAAGAGCTAGCGGGGACCCTCTGGTGCAGGGTTGCTGTCATTAGCAAGCAAAAATGTACAAAACTGGTCAAGCCTCCTGCATTCCGTCTGGAAATTTGTCCGAGAAGCCATGCATGGTCCTGAGTCTCCTTTCACAGTGCTCTTACAGAATTTGACTAATTCCCCCGCCTTCCTTTAATTTTAAATTTCATAATTTAAAAAAATGCAAATGAAAACAAAATTACACGCCATAATTAACCAGACCCCAAAACTTTATGATTCTGTCAACATGGAGACAGTTAGGACAGTCATTTGGAATTGAAGCTATGCAATGTCACATCAGAGTCTATACGGTCACTGCTAAGTGTATTTTTACGCATATATCCATCACCAAAAAAAAAAGTATTCTGAAACCTGTCAATAACATATGGACAGGTGGATACAACATAACATGCAGAAGAAAAGAACAGAAAAGGGCTAAATATTAGGGGATAAGGGAGAATTGAAGGTGGATGACAGAGACGAGCCACAGAAACAGATAGAACACTGTATTCCTCCCCTTTGGTGAGGAAGGAAGAATTGTAATCTTTCACGACCACAGCAAAGGAAAGAAAGCTCTTGACCCTGTACAACACAGCTTCTCCTGCCTGCAATGTGCAAAGAAATTGGGGGGCATAACCAGGAGTTTGAGGGAGAAGCTACCAGAGCTATGGTGACGAACTGGGGACAGAGGAGGGTGACAGGTGGTTCCATTTGTCCAGCTGTCACTTTGGGATTGAGGGACAACAAGAGGCATGGCATGCTGTGAACTCAGTCACAGCTTAAATGAGAAAGGCAACGTGACCTTCACAGACTCCATAGACCTCTTTTCCCTAGGTGGGAGCCAAACATAGTGGAATGTGTGTTTGTTTAACATCTTTGGCGATCAAGTGAACCTGCACATGGCCAACACTTCGCCCAGCTAACCTAACTTCCACACTCTTCACAGCAATTCCCCTCTGAAGTGTCTGATGCTGTTAGGCATGCCTTCAAGATAAAGACAGGGCCAGGTATGGCTGTGCAAACCTGTAACTCAGCATTTGGAAGTACGAGGCTGGAGAATCGGGGAGGACAAGGTTATTTTCTGTTGCATAGACTCCAAGGCCAGCCTGAGCTACAGCAGACCCTATCTCCAAAATCAAAAACAAACAAATGCACATACAAAAAGACGGTAGATGAATATAGCCTGTGTAGATCTTCTAAGGCTACATTTTTGAGCATCAGAGTAAGGGATTATAAGCCAGACCCACCCAGTTGCTCGTCACTGCTGCTGGCACAGCCTTGGATGCAAGGCCTGGATGCTAGATAGTGTCTGAATCATTCAGGCTGTTGGTTTCTTTTTCTCTTTTCTTGATTTGCACAAACGCTAATTTGTTGTTCTGCTGAATGATCTAAAAATCTGCTTTAATGGCAGCTAGTTAGTCCACTATGAAATTTGGAGTAAGCAAACAAAACAAACAACAAAGCACTGCACATAAGATACAGTTTAAGAATTACCAGGAGACCATATTAGATATACTTATCCCTTGCACATAGCAATAGAAGGGAAAAAAGGTTTCAGTGGAAGCAGGACTACAAACACTCTATTGAAGATAAGCTGTAGAATATTCCAGAAAAGCAATGCTAACTTAATTCAAGAAGATGTAATGAAAATAGTTTTCATCCCTCTAGAAATCAAGTTCATGTAGAAAACAAGCTTTTATAGGAAGCTACACACATACACAAACACACAAGTACATGCTCCCCGATATTTCATATAATATTCATTCCTGCACACATTTGTCCATGCATCCTATGCTGATACACACACATGAATGCTTGTGTGCATTCTTGCATACATTTGCACACCCATCACACAGCACCAGCATCAATAGTATTCTATGGTCCATACCTGCACAGACACTGTGGTATCTGTGTAGACAATGATATTTGCTACAGAAGCTGAGCCTGTTTTAAGTGGTTTTTTGTTTGTTTGTTTGTTTGTTTTCCAGCTGTGATCCTGAATGGCTGACACTTCACTTTCTTCCCTTTCTTTTTTCTTCTTTTTTTTTTTTTTTTTCACTTTCTGGCTTCCTCTTACCCTTGTCTTTTTTTTTTTGTTTTGCTTTTTGTTTGTTTTTAAACAAAACAGAACCATATAGTAAATTTGGCCTTACCATAGATGTCATCTAAATGACGAGAAACCTTTCCATGGCCCTCTTTCCTTCCGGCCTCATTTCAATTCAAGACTACCACTAGCATTTCCATTTGTCAGAAGAGGAACTTGGGCACAGAGAAGTTAATGTCATTGCTAACTAGCTGCACAGAGAATAGTAGAGTCCCTGTGTCCCTGACTTCCAGCCCAGAGCGCCAGGTCACACCTTTCCATAAGAACCGCAGGGCTTAGCACCACCCAGTGTGTAGAGTGAGGGAGGCCCTGTGTATGCTCTGCAGGAGTCAGAATGGACACATGCCTAAGGAGGAAACCGAGAAGGGTGTTCGGAGGAGCAGGACTCTGCAAGCCCAGCGTGCGGAGCAGGATGTAAGAGTCAGTGAAAAGAATACAGATGAGGTCAGAGCAAGACTCGCAGCTTGTTTGTGAGCAACCGAAAGTCAGTGCGGTGTCCTTGGACCCATGTCTGAGAGAGTAGCAAAAGCCGAGGTATCACTAAACATTGGGAGGATGAACAGAAGTCTTCAGGGACTAACAGGAATTCAGATGCTATTAGCTTTGTTTTCCACAAACAGAGAGAATCTGTTTTTCAGGAAGCCAGATTTGAGACATACCACTAAGGGAGTGTGCTCTGGGGAAGCTCAGTTCCTCCCCTGCCAGAATCTCCCTCCCACAGGCAGAACAAGAGGCAGCCAAGAACAGACCTGGCCTCAGAAACCCAAGTTAGCTTGGATTAAAGGATTTGATAGTCATACAAATTTGATATTCGTATTGTGAACAACCGTTTTCTCACGAGTGCCTTCTTTTATTCTTTCAAAACAAAGGTATATTGGTCACATTGAAGCATCATATCTGGGCTCAGGCTCATCTCAAAAGGACCCTTCAATTATTTACTTGTTTATCTATTCATTCATTTACTTACTCACTCATTCATTCATTCGTGGGAGAGGCACACACATGGCATGTCCTGTGTGTGTAGCCCAGAAGACAATTTGGGGGAGTTCTGTCCTTCCACCTTACTGAAGCGGGTCTCTCTTGTTTCTGCCATCCTGCATAATTCAGGCTAGATGGCCCTTGAGCTACTCTGAAGGCTACTCTACAGTCTCTGCCTCCAGTCCTACTACAAATGCACACTGCTTCATGCAGCTTTTTCTTACATGGGCTCTGGGCTCTATCTTGGGTTGTCAGGCTAGGCTGGTGTTAGCAATGGCATCAGTGCCATGCAAGGGAACACACAAACTAAGTGACAGTGTCACAGCAAGTCAATTCTTACTGTAAAAAGGATGAACCAGAAGCCGAAATGGGCTAGCTACACACCGGGGCCCACGTGGCTCCGGTGTCTTATGGAGTCATTGACTTGGGTTGTGACTGCATCTTATCTAACTGGCAGAGTGCAACTTCACTCTGACACAGCAGGCTAACTCACGCCAAAGGGACAGAGAAGGCTCATGAAACATGAGTCCTTGCTGGACTAACTACCTTTGATTAGAGAGAAAGAGAGAGGGGGGAGGACACTGGAGGGAAGGAGGGAATGAAGGAAGGAGGAAGGGAGGAAGGAAGGAAGGACAGAAGGAAGGAAAGAAAGAAGGAAGAGGGGGGTGGAGAGATGGCTTAGTGGTTAAGAGTACCGGCTATTCTTCCAGAGATTCTGGGTTCACTTCCCAGAACCCACATGACAGCTCACACCTGTCAGTAACTCCAGTTTCAGGGGATCTGATATGATACCTTTACACCAATGTACATAAAATAAAGTTAAATAAATTATTTTTTAAAAAAAGAAGTAAAGGAGCCAGGCAGTGCTGGTGCACACCTTTAATCCCAACACTCTGGAGGCAGAGGTGGCAGAGCTCTGTGAGTTCAAGGCCAGCCTAGTCTACAAGGACTAGTTCCAGGCCAGGCTCCAAAGCTACAGAGAAACCCTGTCTTGGAAAACCAAAAGAAGAAGGAGAAGGAGGGAAGGAGGGAAGGGAAGGGAAGGGAAGGGACGGGAAGGGAAGGGAAGGGAAGGGAAGGGAAGGGAAGGGAAGGGAAGGGTTCCTCACAGCTGGCAATCACCTTCACCCACTGAGTCATCTAGCAGGTCCTAACCCATGCGTGTAAAGGGGCAGAGGTGAAGAGAGATCTTCGAGACAGAGCAATGGAGAGACCATCTTCCCCATGCAAGGCCTCTTCCTGAAGATTTTTGAGTATGTGGCTATCCTCAGTACAGTGGTCACTCAACATTTCATTCAGTGGCCTACTCTCCCTCTCCTATCTGAGGAGGCGACCCTAAGTTTATCTCAGGCCTCAGGCACCAGGGTCAGGAAGGAGGTGAATGTCGAAGCCGTGCACACAACTGTGCAGAGCTGAGGTGAACGTCAAAGCCAGGCACACGTCTGTGCAGAGCTGAGGTCTGGTGATCTGGTGATAAATGTTTAACAACCCATTCTCCAGTAAGGTGTCAGAAAGCAGACAGATCTCACTAGCCTGCTCTTAGGATGGCTGGTCTCAAACCCCCAATGTCAAGTCAACTGGCTCACGAAATCTTAAACACTTAACAACTTGCTCTTCAGAGCTGGTGTAAGAGCTCCCTGCCCCAAACCACTGATATGCCTTCTTACATAGAAAAATAAAATGTTATCCTTCCCCCAAGAATTTTTTCCCAGGGGCTGGAGAGAGTGAGGTCAGTGGTTAAGAGCACTTGCTGCTCTTCCAAAGGACCCAAGCTTGATTCCCAGCACCTACACAAGGGTTGGGAGTGTGTGGCTCACAAACACCTGTAACTTCAGCTCCAGGGTATCCGATGCCCTCTTTTGGTCTCTGTGGGTATCAGGTAGGCATGTGGTATGCATACATGAAGCGAAACATCTTTATACACATAACGATAATTTGTAAATTTGTTTTTAAGTTTTTTTTCACTTGTTTAAGAAGCAAGCTTAATTCTAAAAATCTTTAGAGGTGATAGTAAATCACCAAGCATGTTATGAGCACAAAAGTCTAAGATGGCAGCAGAGGGCAAGATGGCGTCAGGCTCTCTGTGAGGAAGGGCATGGGCAATGAGGGAACCCAGAGAAGGCGACAGCACAATGTAAGCCATGTGAATGGGATGGCGAGGGCGTCAGCAAGCAGAGGTTAGCCAGACTCCATGATGGAGCAGTAAAGGCTACAGGAAGTGACAAGGAATTAGAAGGGGAGGTGTCTGTGCTCCTGAACCCTAAGAAGTAGGGTTCTTCTTACACAACCAACAGGGACAAACTTAGAGTTTGAGATCGGCGAGACCTGCTCGCTTTCAAATCCCTCTTGCAATGCGCTGGTTACAAAACCTTGAGTGACTCACCCATTGGAGCAGCCTGCTTCTATGGAACAGGAAATAACAGGGTTCCCTCCGCCCCAGGACTCTGAAGTTTGCTGGGAAGGGCGGTGAGACAAGTGTGAGATGATTTTAGAGCCATTAAGTGTTTTACATGTCAAGTGCTATTATCACTTTCTTCATGGCCATGGGGAATTGGAGTGTTGAAAGTTGCTGAGTTATTGTGGAGTGGGGAGGGCCGAAAATGGTAACCGTACCCGTGGAGGGAAGGGTCTGTGTTGACGGAAGCAAATCCTGGTACTTTTGATTCATACGCCATAACTTGCAGATACCTGAGAAACCATGGTAGACTCCAGAGCAAGGTAATCACATTGTGAAGGTGCTGCTTAGGACCTGAGGTGGGCCTCCTGCCTCGCAGATGGCTGTGTCAGTCTCTACACACCACAGTGTAAAACCTGGTAAAAATCCTACAAATCAAGGCACAATTACCAGCCTTGGGAGATCCGTTCCTTTCCTTCTTTCTCCTCATTTTTTGCCTCTTCTTCTACCTTCTTCCTCCCCTCTTTCTCCTCTTCTCCTTCTTCCTCCCCTTTTCCCTCAAAGAACCATGTACCATTAATAATTTTATCCTGCTCCTTCAAGTGACTGAACTCATTCTGGGATATGTCAAAGTCAAATGAGAAATGGTCGGGCACAAAGTCTTACTTCAAAGAACAAGGGGAAGCTTGATGTGGTAGCCCCTGTCATAGTCCCAGGTCCTCGGGGGTCTGCCACAGGTGAATTTCTTGAGTTCAGGAGCCCAAAGCCAACCTGAGCAACAAAGTGAGACCTGCAAATACAGAGTCAATAAGAATTACAGAAAGTCATTGTAATGAAAGTCAGGCATGGAGGGCAGGGGGTGTGAGGCAAGAAGGTTGGGACTTTAAGGCCAGCTTGGTCTACACAGTAAACTTTTAGGCTAGCCTGGGACACATAGGGAAACCTTGTCTCCAAAGAAGCAGAGAAAGGAAGGAGGGAGTAGTTTCCTTGGACAAATGTCTGAGAGGATAGAAAACTCTTCAGAAAGAGGTATCACCACCACCCATTGGGAGGATGAATTCTTAAGGAATCTGAGATGTTGTTGGCTTTGTTTTCCACAAACAGAGAGAATCTCTCTGAGAAATTAAAACTGGGAAGCAGGGCAGGGGAAGGTCTAAGTGTATAAGCACTGACCTTTAATCTCAGCACTCAGGAGGCAGAGGCAGGCAAATTTCTGAGTTTGAGATCAACCTGGTCTGCATAGTGAGCCAGATTTACCTAGCAAAACCCTGTCTAAAAAGAAAAAAAAAGTAATTGATTAGTTGAAAGAAAAATGTAAAAAGACAAGACTGAAAATACACAACAAAAGAGCAAGAATAGGAAAGCTAGGGGACAAGAGAATTGTGTCATAAGAGCCAAGAGGGTGAGGACATTTCACCTGGAGACCAGGTGCCGAGGTCAGGGGTAGAAACATCGTCTTGGGATTGGGCTGCAAGCTGAAGCAAACTTTCCCTTAACCTTCTGTGTGTGGGGGCAAAGACAGAAACAGGCTGCTGTGCTGTTAACAGGCAGTATTTCTGTACCTTCTTCTGTATAAGTTATTTTTTCTTTTCATAGTGGTGTGCTGGATAATTCAGGAGGCAAAATACTTGTTCGGAAAGTTGCTGGGCAGTCCGGGTACAAAGGAAGCTATGCTCACGGCGTTCAGTCTTTATCGCTGCCCCGATGGAGAGAGTCCTTCATCATCTCAGGTATGGCCCCACCCCGAAGACGGGATACCGGCATCCGAGATGGCACCAGTATGAAACGCAGCCTTTCAGCTGCTTTTTAGTTTTTGCTTAGAGCCTGCCTCATTTCAGAAATATAGAAGATATTCGTTCTAAAAACAAGAATTATGAAATAATTATGTAATCACACTTACATGATAAATCACTGCAAAGTCAAACCTAGAAATAATGCATCAGTTGCTCATCTTAGCTGCATCATAGCTGTCCGCAAATCCAATCCCACTTCACATAAAGTGAATCACATTTATTAACTTCGGTTATTTAAAGAAAAAAAAACTGGTCCTTCAGGTGGGCCAAATGAACCCCATATCTAGAACATTCTTCCATGCGTTCTCACTGGAGAGAAAGAGCAAGTCACAGTTTTATTTTAGATTGGTTTGAATTTTTGTTCAATTCATTGCTTCACTATTCAGCTCAACTTTCTAGCATCATGGATGTCTTATAGATAATAAATTCTCTCTCTCTCTCTCTTTCTCTCTCTCTCTCTCTCTCTCTCTCTCTCTCTCTCTCTTTCTCTCTCTCTGTCTCTCAAAACTCCTGGAGTGTAGTTTCAACAGTGAAAAGGCAACCAGCTCTCTCCAAGCCATTATGAATGGCTTCTCCTATCTTTGTTATTCCTTCCATCCAGTCTTTTATTTTGAAAATGAACTAATGGCAAACTGAAAGGTAACACAATGACTGCCCATCTTTCTTTCACCCAGATTCCTTAATTGTTAACATTTTTGTTTTGCCTACTTGCATATTTACCATTTAAAGATAACTTTCCTGGAAAATGTTGTGAGTGCCCTTGACATTTTGTCTGTAAGTATGGCTCCGTGTCTCTAGGAGTGTGAACGCTTTCTGAGCAACTACCGCGGTACCACATCTGCAAACGAACCTTGATGCACCACTCTCTGGTGAAGAGTTCTTATTCATGTGCTCAAAATCATCCTCAGAATAATTTATTCCCTTTTTGTGATCTGTAACATGATCAAAGATTAGACCTGGCAGTTAGTTGTCAAATCTCTTGGGTCTCTTTAATTCCCCCACCCACGTCACATCTTGTCATCATGAATAATAAAGACATCTATGGAGTCTAGACCAGTTATTTAGGAGTATGTCCTACAGGATGGACCCAAAATGGGATGAGCCGCTTTATTGTCTTTGTTTTTGTTTTGTTTTGTTTTTTTGTGATTGGATTCAATTTCAATAGACATTCCTAATGATATTGTTTATGTATATGAGTGTTTTGCCTGCATGTATATATGGGTACCCTGTGTGTGCCTGCTGCCCACAGAGGCCAGAAGAGAATATCAGAACTCCTGGAAATGGAGTTACAGATAGTTATGAGCCATTATGTGGGTACTGAGTACCGAACCCAGATCCTCTGCAAGAGCAAGAGCTCTTAATCACTGAGCCATCACGCCAGCCCCAGGATATTTTGAGAAGGACAGGTTATATCATCAAATCTTCTTGGTGTCACAGTGCAATGGCCATATCGAAGAGTTATACTGCCGGTTTCTTTCATTGTTACTGATACCAAATTTGATTGCTTGCCTAGTATAATATACTTCTCCAGGGCCACGATGTGTGTAATTAGTTAGCAAGCAGGGTGATACTTCAAGAGCTTGAGGAACTTATTCCCCAGTAATGTTTACTCAGCAGTTTTTACACTCCTTGCCCATCCTGCTTCATAATTAAGACATTAGTCAGTGGTTCTCCAGTATCCCCTCGGGGTACCAAAATCTGCAAGCTGCTCAGGCGCCCTTTGAACAAAGGTCTGCGCATAACCTATGGCCGTCTCTCCCCGTCGCTGTGCCGGCTCCAGATTCCTTCCGTACCTAACAATGCGGTTGCTGTGCACGTAGCTGGTCCACTCTGTTGTTTAGGAAAGGATGACACAATTACCTGCAGCCCAGCACAGCTGCAAATTGTTTCCAAGGATTTTAATTGCAGATGAGTTGAATCACAAATTCAGATGCTATGCAAACAGGGCAGACTGTAGCTGCAGAATTCACGATTTTTCCTAGTTGGGTCATTCCTTCCACATTAGTGTTCCCCTTAAACCCCCTGCCCTGTTGTGTTTAATGTAGACTACGGACCCACTCTTTCTCTTTTAAATAAAATATGTTGTTATCCACCACACCCAACAAACCTTCATTATATTGTTGTGTCTTGCATCCCCTGAGATCGGCCAGGAAAAGCTGCTCGTTCAGGCGCCCTGACACGTTTGATTTGGAGCAGAAGATTAACATCCAATGCTCACCTTACCCTCTCTTTGCACAAAACCCCCACCTCCTTGTTTTCTCTAAGGAAGTTCCATAGGATTTAAACCTAGATTCTAATTCAAAGCTGCCTGGCCTCCAGCAAGATTGGATGTGATGGGATTATTCGAAGGAGAAATTCCCCATGGAAAGAGACGCGTCTCATTGTACCACGGTTCTTCCAGACAAGGTGGTTTTCTGATCCCCATTAGGCATCCCAGGTCCCAGCCCTTATTTCCTCCACCCATCAGAATTGTGACAAAAGAAAAAAAAAAAAAAAAAAAAAACAGACATTTTAGGATTCTCCTCCAGTTGGGCAACCCCTGTTTCCCCGAGCCTATTAAGTTATACAGATGAGTCTCATTTCTTTATCAAATCATGGAAGGCCGTCAGCCACAGAGTAAGTTACTAAGAACTCAGGGCAGAGACCAAACGACAGTGTCACTGTCTAGTTGAGAAGAGAGAACTGTAACCTCCACATAGGAATGCACCAAGCAACTCCCGTCTAAGCGAGAGAATTCAGGCTAACAACTCAGCCCGCAGTCCAGGACATTCCTAGAAAGGAGAGGCATTGAGTGTTACGGATTTTTGTGGTGGTTGTTGTTGGCTTTTTGTTTTCACAATAAAATCAGTTTAATAAATCTATTCCCTATAAATCTCAGCTTCCATCTCCCTCAGTCTCCCTTGTGACATTTAACAGAAAATGACTGTGGCCAAAGATCATAAGCGCGTGTGCTTCCGCAGTGACTAGGAGACCTCTTCCAAAGGGATGTTAGGGTGGTCACTGTCTTGCCATGCTGTCGCTAAGGACACCTTGTGAATCGCAAGTTCACGGCCGATCGTGGCAGAGCCCTCTTCAGAAGGCTCAGGTGTGACCTTTCTCTGGATTTTTATCTTTAATTTTTATAGGTCACTGTGCTTCTTTAATTAATCTGCCTTGGGGCTCTGGGAGCTGTTGGGGAGAGATAGGGCATATGGTTTGGGTCCTCATAATCCTTGGACAGTAACAGCTTAGGCAAGGCCAGTGTAGGTCCGCTAACAACTGCCCTCGGTCGGTCCCTTGATCCACATTTCAGACAGCTGAGCTGATGCCCTCTTGCCTTCTGAACAGAAACACTAAGAACGACCCAGTTTGAGTCATGAGAAGAAGAGTAAGAGGGTAGAGGCCTCTGTCTATCTAGGCCTCTCTATGTGTGAACTCATTGTGGCCCATAGCCAGGAGGCCTTCATGAGGTCTGAAGCAGCCTCAACCAGGGTCTGCTCAGAGCAGGCCCGGACATGGCTGAAGGCTTGGAAATGACCCCTTCTGCTCCCGGGCGGTTTTAATACGATGAAGTAAGAGGCACCTATAAGCCAGATTGTTTGCCTTTGAGTGGAACTTACAGGTAATGTCTGAATAAAGTTTTGCATCTTTGTGGGAATATGCAGCTCCAAACACTTTGGAATTTCATTTTTCAATGCATCCCTGTAACTTTTTAGAGGTTGTGTCATTATTTATATTTTCTCAATAAAAAAATAGAGTCTTGAAGATTAAAGCAGCTAATTAAAAGTAAAAATAAGGGCTGGGGTATGGTTCAGTGGTAGAACACCTACCTCAGCACACGAAGGGCCCTGGGTTTGATCCCCAAAACCATAAAAATAAAAATGATATGAAAAAGTAAAATATAGGGCGAAAATGGAAACTTTTATATTTTAATAAACTTTAAAAAATAAAATAAAATAAAAAAATAAAATAAAATAAATGTAAAATATAAATAGAAAGCCAGTTTTTCTTAGTCTCAGGTACTCTCCGAGACCTCACAGTTCTTGGGTCAATAGGATGCTTGGCACATTCCCGGGCCGTGTTCTGGCCTACTTCGCTCCACTCTCCATAATGACACCGCCCCTTACCATTGAGAGATTAATGCTTTCATATAAATATGATAGCAAGTGTCCACCCCGATCTCCCACTGAAGACAATGATAGGTAGCAAGACCCTAAACATTAAGATATTCCTGCACGGGGCTAGAGAAACGAATCAGTGGTTAAGAACCCTCAACGCTCTTGCAAAGAACTGGGATTTGGTTCTCCACACCTGCACTGAAGACCTCATAAATGCCTATGGCTACAGTTCCAGGAGATCCAAAACCTTTTTCAGGCCTCAGCATACACACGTACATGTGTGCGCACACACACATACACAGACACACACACACACACACACGCACGCACAAATAAAATAAATCTTCAAAGGTATTTCCTCATGTCATAACTACATGAGACACTGCTTATGGCCTGGGACCGTAACAGCTGTGCAGAGACAATTGAACTTGTAAGGGGTCGGGGGGTGGGGAAAACTGTCGGAATTCACTTTCCATTTAATTGTAGAACAGAGCCCACTGTCCGGCATCTCTTGGAAATGAGATGACTACACAGGAAATAGGCTTCGGGGCCATTTCCGTCGTCCCAGACTTGATGACTGCTGACTTCTCTACCAGATCATTGCTGGTCCAGCTCTGATGGCCCAGTGTCTTCCCTTTTCCTGCTTCTATTGTGTCCTTGTTAGACAAGCCTGCTTTTTCTCCTTGTCTTGTACCTGACGTCTCTCCCCAAGTGGCCACCAATGGTTGTTTTCAAGGAGGGCCTATATACAGCTGCTCTCAGGTGTCCGTGATGCCCGGGAAGTCAATGAGTCCCCCAGGGTCTGTGAAAGTGAGAGGCGACCATCCATCCACAGAGGACCAATCCAAGCCCTGAAAGAAGACTGTGTGGGATGTCTCGCATCCACCTCCTGTTACAATTGAACATCCAAAGCCCTGTGGATAAAAACGCGTTAGCTTACATGTCACATCTTCTGGAGCAAAATAAGAAATTGCTAATGTTAGGCAGCTCTGAGTCATGAGAATTTTATGACTTCCATTCTGTTATTAATAAAACAAATACTCCATGGGAAAACAAAATGCCACTTGACTTTCCTTTTGGAATCAACAACTCGGTACAAGGGCGACAGATGCTGCTGAGCTCAAGAGAGACAAATTGGAAAGAGATAATCCATTTATCGGCACAGAAAGATCTAGAAACCAGCCCTAGAAATAAATCTCACTTTCTTTTCTTTTGCAGAGAGTAAAGCCCAAAAGGGTGTAACCTATCCGTCGACTCTTACATACTCGTCATCCAAAACCCCAGCTGGCAAAGCAGGCAAGTGGTCACATGTTGTTTCATCCACGCTGCCTGAGTGCAAGCACGTGCCATGGTGTGCTTTGGGAGATGGTGTGGGAATTTCCATCTTACCCGGTCAAGCCCTGCTGACCCTGGAGATGCTTTCACCAATGCCAGGAACCTGGCACCAAAACCAACGGGACCAGAGAGCTGTGGCTTGGGAGTGAGGGGTTTTGTTATTTTTCACGATTGGAGCCTGTCTCTTTATCTGCGTCACTTTCATTCAGAGTGACTGTCCTGGATGTCATTACTGTTACTTTAGATGATATGACCTTATGCCTAGAAATGTTCCCTGGCAACCGAAAGGGAAGGGGCTGCCTCTGCTTGGCTATAAAGCAAAGGGAAGGAGAGAGAATGATGGGACCCGCTCACTAGCAGCAAGCAAACAAGCAGTGGATCTGCATCAGGACACAGGGCACTCCCGCGGGGCTCACCTGAGCCAGCCTCCACAGGAGAGGCAGAAACTAAGGAATCTCTTTCCCCGGTTTCTATCCTAAATCAGACCAGTGCCCTCCATGGTGCTGGCGTGGGAGGCGCTTGGACTTCTCACTTAGGCAGGGGCTTTCTCACAGGATCTGACATTCCAGAAAGAAGGCAGGTGGATGGATCTGGCTCATTCTGCTGGTGGAGGTAGGGAGGACATGGCTCTGGAATTTTAAGAGTTAGCATTTCTTGAATATTTGGTGTGCGCAAGGCACTGTGACAAGACCTTTCCCTGGTAGTTTTTAGCCAGTCTGCGTTGCTACCAGTATGCCCTGTTCTTAGCCCTCAATGCACAGTTTGCAGAAAACACAGCTCGGAAAAACAGCTGGGTAGATTGTCATTGACCAACAGCAAGGAATTAGCAAAGTTGGGAGTCAAACTCTCAGACAGCCTGGCTCCAAACACCTCTCCCTCGATCACTGTGCTAGATCTTCTCCTGCTAGCCTCCACAGGTACAGACTCCTGGTCTGAGGAGCCTTAGCAGACATATTGGGAGTTGCCTGCCTTACATCTTGTCACCGCCTCTCCTATACCTTCTGTGACCTTTTAATCGCTGAAGCAAGCAAGACACATCTGAGTTGCAAGAACACAGTCGTCCCTGTTCACCACGGTGGGGTGATACCTTAAGGAGGGGATCTGAGATGTGTCCTGTCTTCCTCTGGTGAGGACAAGGGAAGAAGAGTGGCAGGAACCCCCTGATAGTTTCTGTTTCATCTGGGTCTGCAGCCTCTGCAGTCTGGTGACTTCCAAAGAGGTGAAGTGCGCAGATGGCTGGGTTCTGTTTCATCTAGTCTGCTCTTGTCCGGTCCCGACCCTTTTCCTCCATTCCTAACATACCATTCCAGGAACCAGCAGCTTCTGCGCTCAGAACTCTGGGCTTCTCCATAGACTGCCCTGGGGCCTGAGTTGCTTTGAAGTGAGGTCACCTTCCTTTCCCTTCTCATTTGGTCTGGAGCTGTTGAGGGCCTTTGGCCAGGGATGTGCTAATGGCACAGATAACCTTAGAGATCTCAAGGGTAGAGAGAGTTGCCAGTGCCAAATAATGCCCAGACTGTGCAGTACAAGTGCCAAGACCCTCTCTCCTCATACTCTGTGCTTCCAGCCTCCCAGAATACTCCCCTAGTGTCTCCGCAAAACTCTCCACGGGGTCCAGGGTGTGCATGTGCAGATTCTGCCTCAGAAAGACTGGTAGGGCGTGGACAAGCCGCCTCCACCAGCAGCTTCTTCTTTAGGCTTGGAAAGGCAGCAGGAAGGAAGGAAGGAACTCTCACCTGAAGACCCCTCAGACAGTGTGGCTCCCGGTCTCTCCCTTTTGTTGGTCCTTGCCCTCCCTCACTGCTCAGGCAGACTTGGGTCTAGTGACCACGCAGATTAACCTGGGATGGTCACAGGTGTGAGAAGCTCAGGGACGGATATTTTGTTATAGAAAGGAGTGTTCAGGTCCTTCCGGCTTCAACCCTCAGTCATAACCTGAAAAAGGGTCCCCACACAGCCATCTGGCGACCACAGCTAACAGCCAAGTCCTCTCTCTGAGCCAGAGCCCAGAGTTACAACAGCCTGAGGCGGAGAACACCCCTATCTTCCCCTGCTTCAGATAAAGCTGACCTTAGAAGGGTTTAGCAATTTCCCCAAGGCTGTGATAGTAACTGGTTCCTTAGTGGCTGATGAATTGCATCATCCTAAAGCAGGAGACAGTTGTGGGCCGAGAGCTGGAAGAAGGTTCAGGTAAGAGACACTGCCTTGGGGTTTAGGAATCCATTAGAGCTCAAAGCCGCAGGCAACAGAGGTCTGTCCAAAGCTCCCCTTGTCTACACCAGCCACGGGGGCACTGAACTGTCCCCGCTCACCACACGCTTGCCTTTATGCCTTCATGGCAGTTTGAAGTAGAGCATGGGACGTCCCCCTCCTACTTCTATTTAAATCTGTGGAGTACCCAAGAGTCCCACCGTTAAAGCACGACCATCATGCTTTGCCACATCATTACCACGTCACCTCAAGCTTCTGTGGCGTACCAGCAGGTGTTGTTATCTACCCCTCCTTTCCAGATTGTCCACGCTTCACAGCATCTCAAAGACTTGCATTTCTTCATCTCCCCTTGCCCTCACCACTGAGTGCCTCCTGGGTCAATGACGAGTGTGCCGGTATCAAAGGGATGCTTGGGGTCTCGCTCTGTCTCTTTGAAAGGACATGCCTACATGGAGTGAGTTCTTCCTAATTAAAAAAAAAAAATCGCAGTGATAACCATGAACGAGTGGCTTCATCGCTACTCTTCCTACGGGGTCAAATTCCTTCAGAAACTGGACAAAGCAGAAAAGAGGTAGATGCAGGGTTAACCATGGCTCAGGTGTCTCGGCACGCTGCATAAAATGCTAGGCTCGTAAAAGAATGAGTTAATAGGTAAATCGGGTTAGGATGACCCTCCGCCAAGCATAGCCACCATCTTCAGTGGCCAGTTATTTCACCTGAATCCTGGAAGGTATCTGATTTGCCTTGCAGGGCTCACACTGGGGACAGATGTTAGCTGGCAATGTAAAGGCTGCCTCTCCCAGACAGTTAGTTAGCCACCCTAAAGTGGGCAGCTGCCTCCTCCACTTGCTCTGGGCTAAATAAAAACAGGTAAGCGTTGATTTGTAAAAATGCAAAAAAAAAAAAAAAAAAGAAAAAGAAAAAGAAAAAAAAAACTGGGAAGGCACATTCTTGGTGTCATGGCCAAAGAAGGCTGAGAAAATCTGTTCCTGAGAAAGGCACAGGAACACACTCTCCCGTCTCCCCTTGGCTGTGACTAAGCCCTGCCATGGAAGGGGACCCTACGCTTTATGGCATCACCTCCCAGGCCTCCCCTGACCTCACGACTGTATCCACGCTGTTGTCACCTGTTGTCACTCCTGACAGTAAACTTTGGTGACCAAGGCCAGTCTTCTACTTTGTTCCCTGTTAGTGGGCAAAGAGCGTGAGTTTAGGTTCAACCACGCTTGAATTCTAACCTTGTCTCTGCCTCCATGTGTCCCTGTAAACCGGAACTCTCCTCTTCACTGGGAATGCTTATGGAAAAATCCTCCAAGGCGCCAACAGCTAGCGGTTGACCAGTGGGTCTTAGATCTCCTGCCCTGGTGTGCAGCCCTGAAGTTCAGAATGAGTTAGTGGTGAGAAAACCAAAGCTTCCCCCAGCACTCAGACCTGTAGGCATTTTGACTTCTGTCCTTGTCATGGCCCCCAAGGTACACCGCTGTCCCCTGCAGAGGGGAAGCATAAGGTAGTATGAAATGTCAGCTCCTACCATTCATTGGATCTTACATGTGCCAAGCACAGTGTGGGTGACTTCTATACTTCACTCAAATTATGGCAGGAGCCCTGCCAAGTAGGCATGACAGGCCCCACTCATAAAGGACAGGTTTGGATAGCTTCAGAAGCAAAGCTGGCCACAGTGGGGCTAGGAGCCCAATCTGGCCCAGGCTGCAGTTCTTATAGCAAAGTTCCATCTGAGATCTGGTGAACCAGCCTCTCGGGGAACAGTTCCCGGTGGCGGCATCTGTAACTCTCCCTCGCTCTGGGGCTCTGTCTGCAGCTGTGGAGAAGGTGGCCATACCTAAATCAGCAATGTACTGAGCGCCCGAGGCGTGTCTGTGAGAACCTCTGAAAGGAGACTACACTTCCATCCATCTGACAACACTGTCACTGAAACTGGCTGGGTGTCATGTCCAGTTGTTCAAAATGAACCCAGAGTGTAATATTCAGTAAGGACCTGGGAGAAGTTAGGGCTGGAAGAGTGGCATCCTCTTCCTCCATGGTAAAGATGGTTCTAAGCTGCGACAGGGAACAAACAAACGCAGTTCATATAGGACTAGAGTACCTTTTTATTATTATTATTATTATTATTACTCTTGGGTAAATTGATTAAGTGTTTGAAAGCAGCTGGGTCCTGCCAAGTAACCCACTGACTGCCTTCATGTTGTTTAATCTCTAGCTCTCTTGAAAAGGAATATTCACAAACGGAGATAGCTGGGGTAACCGGGATCCTAGGATCTGGCCAACAGGAAGGGATCCTTGTGATTTTCAAGCTATAATAAGCCTATGATGGGAAGATGTTCTAGAGAAAGCTTTATTTGCTGCATTATGGCTGAATTAATTTATTTGAGAGTAAAAATACATTTGCTGCCTGATTATTTATATGTGTCACTGGACCTTGATCCTGTTCATTGAAATCAGAAGCAGTTCTACTCAGTGCCCCGCCCCCCAGATGAAGCAAAGCAATCCTGGGCCCACACTCCCTCAAGAGGCGTCAAAGCCTTCTAGCAAAACCTTGAGGCAGAGGGTCCCTCTTAAGAAATTAAACACTTCTCTCGGACTTATTATGAATGGCTGTCCTTTAAAATAAAGAAAATGTCATACATCGGGCAGGTTTGGCTTTGCCCACGGATGGCGCAGATGCCGGTAGAAACCCGGCAGCCATTCATGGCTCTTTAACAATTGTCTGGCCTGGTCTTCTGACTGATTTAAAGATGGCTAACTGTTGGCAAACAACGGGGTTAATGAAAAGGAGAACTCTGCCACCTGCCCACGAGAGCCGATGGGATGGCTGGATCAAACCCCGGTGCTGGACTTGGTTTTTGTCTGGTCCGCCCTCCCAAATTAGTGGTGTGATTGACTCCGGAAGGTGACAGTGTCAGGATGTGTAAGGGAACAGGTGCCAGTGTGGAGCAGTGTGTCTGAACACCCAGCAAATGTTGGTCTGCCGGGCCTGTAGCTCTAACACCGTTCTCCTAGGATGCCGTACGTGCGCAGTGCTCTACCATATCAAAGAGCAAGTTGGGAAGAGGAAGAGGCATCTTTTAACCTCAAGTGTTACCCCCTTGGCCTGCTTTTCCAGGTGCCTAAATGCATCAACCCTAATCACAGTGAATACTAGAGCCAGGGTTCTATGGTGGGCTGAAAAGCTCCCTTCAAAAAGATACTAAATATTCCAAGCGTGCCCTTACATGGAGAGGAGTACTTTTTGCCAGTATGGTTAAGGGTCTTGACACTGGATATTTATCATGGATTATCTGTGTGGGCCCGAAATACAACCACAAACATCTCTACAGAAAGAAAGCAGAGGAAAATTGCGTCACACCCTGAGAAAAGGAGGTTATATGAAGACAGGGCAGAGAAACCAAACAAGGATGCTAACTTTAGAGACAGCCACAGACCAATTCAGATGAACTTGACTGATGTAAGAAACACATTCAACCCTCGGGCTTCCTTGAGGAAGCTCAGTGCTGCTGGTCCCTTAACTCTGACTCGGTAGTCCTTGTTTTGGAATCCTGGCCTCTAGAAGCATAAGAAAAGGAATCTCTGTTGCTTTAAGCCACCAAGTTTAGGGTAATGTATGACAGCAACACCAGAACACAAGATTCCCAGTTAGAGAATTAATACTCCAATGGGTGCTCAGTAGCCAATGGCAACAGACCTAGAGCTGAGGGGCCACAAATGGGACTGGGTGAAGTGAGGGGGAGGCGGTGAGGTGGGGGCTGTTAGGTCTCTCTACAGCCCTGGCCCAAGGTTCCCAAGATAGTCCCCAACTTGTGTGGAGTAGCCTCCTTTCCCTAAACTTTCGTTGATATTCGGAGCAATTGGAGCTTTAACAAACTTAGACTTGCTTTGCAAGAAGCAATTGGAACCTTGCATCAGCTCTCCACACTCCTGGAAACGAATTTCCACTCGGGCTTGAGAGATGGCTCAGTGGCTAAAGGCACTGGTGCTTTTGCAGAGGACTGGGGTTCAATTCCCAGCAACCCATGTAGGGCAACTCACTACTACCTATAACTCTAGCTCAAAGGGATCTGACTCCCTCTGGTGACCTTCACTGACACCACGCGCAAATGCATAAGCCCACACATAGACACACACATAAATACATTACTAAGCATAAAAATAGAGTCTTAAAGGAATAACCTCCACTCATACTCATGCATGCAACTCAAATTAAACTCAGTGAAAGAAATACAGAACATCAAGTAGGAGGGACCTTGTTGGGAAGAAAGGGGTTTGGGGTGATGGGAGACGGGAAGTGGAAATGTCCAAAAGTCAAATACCCAAAAGTCAGTATATACACATAAAAAATTGTCAAAAAATAAGAACATGTGAAGCAATCAAAACCGTCACATGATCCCTTCTATCTACTTAGCTCCACTATCCCAGTTATTGGTAAGACGTCTGGGGCCAAGTGGAATCAGCTGACTGGTTGTGAACCACCTTAAACCAAAATGTGTTCTCGAAGGAGTGAGCCATAAAGAAGGCCCTGGAAGTACCATGTATCCATGAGCCAATTACAATTGAGATGGCAAAGCCATAGAAAGGGAAGAAGGGAGAAAGAGAAATGGAGGTTAGAAAGAAGAAAGAACCAAGACAAACCACTCCTTGCGATGCCTGGCAAAGTAGTTGAGCAACTAATCATGTTCTGCCTTCCCTGTGTTGCTATGGCTTCGAACTGTCACTCAAGTGTGCTGTTTAATCCTTGGTTGCTTGTTGGCTTATTGCTCTGAAAATGTTCTAGATCCCACCTTCCACTATAACTAGTATGGGTCTCTCCTAAAAGCCAGTGGTGTTCAGTAAACATTTATTTGACTTCTGGTCCTAAATCCTACAGGCTTCTAAACCCTACAGGCTATTTTGTAGGTACCAATGCAATTCTGTTTTCTTACAGGTGAGGCCACAAAAGCCTATGAGAACCCGTCTATTACAGGGACAACCACACAGCCCTTCACCCTGATACAGACTCTAGCTATCCCAGTAGCTGAGGCTGTCTACAGAGCCACATCAAAGCCATTCACAGCATCTGTAACTAACAGCCCCAGACCCCAACCCGTGGGCCACAGGAGCCAGGAGATGGGTGAGTAGGTGGGTTATGGATTGTTGTGTGCTACAAGGGCAGGCAGTATATCCTGAGTGGAGCAACTTGGTTGGAACCTGGTGTACAGTCACCAGCCCTCATCTTTTCAGCTAGTGATTAGGTAGCCAGTGAGACCATCGCAGGCGTGGGATGCAGACTTTATCTTTAATGCTTAAAACGCAACTACCGTTGTCATACCCACAAAGACAGGGCAGTATGCGAAGCGTTATCTTTAAAGGATCACCACTCCCCCAAAAGCTCAGCTGAAAAAGACAGAAGGCTTAATTCTCAACATTATCGTGTTGCTGGATTTTGCTGGTTTCCGTAAACAACAAATGGCCCACACCCCAGAAGTCTTTAGATATTAAGAATAAAACCAAAAGAATCCCTCTAGGAAGCCAGATAGCTGATGTGCTTGCTTGTCACATAATTCAATCTCGAGTTTCTACACGGGCTTCTGTCTTCACCACCCTGAGATAAAGAGCACCTGTGCCAGTTCAAACAGTTTCCTGACAAAGCAGGGGGAGGATGGGAAATTGTGCAACAGGATTGCTATTATCGCGGAAGGTTTATCTGAATAGTTACTGTCTGGTGACACATTTTCCTGCTTGGGGGGAATTCCCAGGCCTTGTTTTCAGCCCCTCCCCTAATTTTCAGTCATTATTGCCGTGCAGCAGGACCCTCCCCAGCCACCTGTCTTCCCATCCTTTTATTTCCTGCAGTAGAATGTGCAGTTCCAAGGCACTGGGCCCTTTTCTAATCAACTGACACGTATTAGCTCACTAGATCATAGCAGCTCTGCGGGGCAGATCTATATGACTTCTAACTTGAGCGACTCCATTGTTGTGATAAATAAACTAAGGAATAAGGGGAGTGGGAACAAGCCCTAGGTCACGGGTGAGCAAACAGGAATCCAAACACCAACACCTGGAATTCCTGCCATCAGCAAACACATCGGTAAAAATCTGAGCCGTGAAGTGGCAAGATTGAAGGCTTCTGGGCTTCCCTAACATCGTCAGTAACTAATGGTAACTCTCAGGCTGCACAGCACCCATGCACTGCCTGGGTCGAGCATATCACATGCTTTATCATATTCTTGGTACTGACTCCACTGTAAATGTCCTATTTTATAGGTGCCTCATGGGAGCAGTTGTGACCTAAAGGTTCCAAATCAGAGAATCATAAAAAAAATAATTTTGAAAGTTTGGAAATAAGTCAGACACGCTCCCTACCCCATCCTATTCTTGTTTAATTGCACGAATAATAGTAACACTAATTAATGATGCCTGGCAGCAACGAGAGAGAAGCAGCCTGTGGTGCTGGGGGACCAGGGTTCACAGGAGTCCCCAGAACCAGGGCTTTTTCTTTATTACATCCCAAGCTCTTCATTCTTTCAAATACACTCGAGTGTCTGAATCAGCTGTCGTCTCTCCCAGAGGGCTCCCGTTCTTATGTAACAGACAACAGTGATTTGTGGCTTGTTTACTTGGCTTCTCCGGGCAGCTTAGGAATCTTGATGCCAATTTGGCTGAAAACTCCTCAAAAAACCTGAAGTAGTGACTCCCAACCTGGCAAAGCTTTGCTATTCCTGGCTTTGGGACAGGGACTTTGGACAGCAGCCTCCCAGCCCATCATTGTTCCTGTTTCTTACTCACACAGCACCCACTTCCACACAGCTCACACACTGCCTGGTGCATCCCTGGGGAGAGAGAGGCTTCTGTGCCGCAGGCACCATAAATGCTAAGACGGGAGCCCAGGTAGGGAGAGAAGGAGGAGTTCTTAACCACCGCATGGCCCAGCCAAAGCCATTCTGCATGCATTAAAAAAAAAAAAAAAAGCAGCTTTGGATGTCCAAATGCCTTTGTCCATTTAAAATAGCAGCTGTATTGAGACACCCTTCACATCCCATAAAATCCACCTGTCTAAAGTTCTTATTCAGGGGGTCTTAGTATATCCATAGTTATATGACCATCACGACAATCACATTCTAGAACATTTTCATCGCTCCCAAAGAAACTCCATTCCTGTGAACCTGAACCTAAGTCATCACCCCTTTGGTTCTAGATCAGCAGTTCTCCACCTATGGGTTGTGACCCCTTTGGAAGCCAAATGACCCTTTCAAGTGAGTCACCTAAGACAAAAAACACAGACATTTGCATTACTGTTTGTAACAGTAGCAAAACTACAGATATGAAGTAGCAACAAAAATGTTATGATTGAGGGTCACCATACCATGAGGTACTGTATTAAAGGGTTGCAGCATCAGGAAGATTGAGAACCACTGTCTGTCTACTTTTATGAATGACCCTCTTTTAAAAATTTACATCAGCATGAGATTGTTACTTTGTAATTTGAGTCCACAGTTCTCTAAGTGATACACATGCTTGAAACATCAAGGGATTGAAGCCCATGCCCTTGCTATCTCTCGGTTGGACCTCCAGGAAGATGGCCTCTGTAGTGAGGAGCTGCGGGCACGCCTGCTTTTCATCCCACCGGGCTCCCACGCAGCTAGCTTAGCCCCAGAAATAATAACACGGAAACTGTATTCATTTAAACACTGCCTGGCCCATTATCTCTAGAGAGTTAGTTACTGACTAACTCTCACATCTCGATTAACCCATTTCTAATAATCTGTGTAGCACCATGAGGTGGTGGCTTACCGGAAAAGATTCAGCATGTCTGACCTGGTGGCTGGTTCCATGGCATCTGCCTCATTGCCCTCTTCCCAGCATTCTGTTCTGTTTACTCCACCTACCTAATTTTCTGTCCTATCAGAGGGCCAAGGCAGTCTCTTTATTAACCAATGAAAATAACACATAGACAGAAGGCCCATCTACATCAGGCCTCTGAGCGTAATCATTAATAGTAATTTAGACTGCTTTATGTCCTTTTATAAAAGATACTTAATATAAGATTATATAAAAAAGTAGGCTAACGGTGTAAGTCAGTGAGGCCCCCAGGCTCCATTCCCAACATCATGGGTGTCTTTCTTGAATCATAGCTATATGTATTTGCTATGACATTTTAACCCAACTACATGAAATCATTTTTAGTAAACAAATAACTACTTTTAAGTTCAAACAAGCTGAAGTACTCTGCCAACGACAAGAACGCACAGCTCACAGTGTTGACAGAAAAATCACTTGTTATTGTCTGTGTGTGACTTAAACGGAGAGCTGATAGAAGCGGGTGTGCCTGGGTGTTCAGGCAAAGCCTAATTCATTCAAGAAATATTTGTTGAATGTCTACTATGTGTCATTGGACAACATTCTAGGACACAACAGTGATCATCCCACCCCAATGCACTAAGATCCACAGCCAATCCCTTCCGCGCAGGACACCTGGCATACGCGGAGCTGGAGTAGGGACCCCCTGTGTTTGAGGCCGGACAGTCATCTTCGTCCTGCGCTGAAGACTAAGGCATCCTCTCAGACAGGACCCAACCCCTTAGACTCCAAGTGATTCTCAACCCTTAAACAGAGTTCCTCATGTTGAGGCGACCCCCCATCATAAAATTATCTCATTGCCACATCACAACTGCAATTTTTCTACTGTTAGGAATCATATTGCAAGCATCTGATATGCCACCCCAAGGGCATTGCGACCCACAGGTTGAGAACCACTGCCTTAGAGGGAGGCTAGCAACAAACTATGATATAGTTAAATGCATAAGAGACAAGAGCGCTCTCAGCGCATGAAAGCAAGTTTAGGCATGGGAGGACTCCCAGGAAGCGGGTACTGGACACACATCATGGCCCATTCACTGACCCATGAATATACGAGACAAGACATCAGGAAAGACCAAGCCAGAGTTAGGAGTAATGATCCAAGACCCAGGGGCACAGGGATTTCTCTCAGGGGACAGGAATAAGGCTGTCTTCATGGGGGAGGCCAAAGATGGCCCTGGTGCCCCCAGGTGCACCCAGCACCAGAGAAAGCCACCCAGAGGGCCAGATCCATAGCTATTCTTAGACGAGAGTTCTGCAAAGCCAGACAAGCCACAGGTTCAGCTGGCTCAGCTGGGCTCTCTCCATTTTAGCAGCAGAGTGGCAGCTTGCAGTGTTGTCTTCGCAGTCAGGTTCATGTTGAGAAGCATTTTAGTGGCCACAGCTGGTGTGGCGTTAAATGTATGCACAGTACAGATAGACCAGAGGGGTAGAAGAGCGCCGCCTAGTGACAAGACACAAGAATGTCAGGGCTATTCATTTGCCCTCCAGTCCTGTGCAGGGACTGGGGGGAGATGGAGGGACTGGGGCAAGAGGTGACTGGTCTCTAGCAGCACACTCCCTTTGACACAGAGTGAGTTCCAGGACAGGCAGGGCTACGCAGAGAAACTCAGTCTTAAAAAAACCAAACTCAAACCCAGCAAACACACACAATTCATACTGCAAACTGAGATACACAGTTTGGGCAAGATTGTAGAGAAATGACAGAACTCACCAAGAAAGAGTTGTGAGGAAAGTGTTATCCAAACGCAAGAACAAAGGTTGTAGGACGTGTTCACGTGATGGGAAGTGAAGATTTACTCACCCGCCATTAGAAGAATGGTAAAGTCGCCATACAGCAGCTTAAATGGGCTGCACGCACACAATGGAATGCTTGCTATTCAGACGTAAAGAAAAATGCAGCTATGGCATTTTAAGAAAAAAGAAAGGAAGTAGAGATCATTACTTTAAGCTAAGGCAGAGTGCAAAAGACAAACATCCCATGTTTTCTCTCACATGTGAAATATAGATATGGGGGTGGGGGTGGAGGGGGGAGCAAGTAGAACAAGGACTAAGAGAGAAGGACTCTAAAAGAACAAGTGGAGGAGAAAAGAAGAAAGAGGGTACGAGGGTGGTGGAATATATGTGACCTGAAAATGGGGAGATTATTTGGGGATACAATACAGGAAAGGCACCTCCAAGAGGGGAAGGAGGCCTGGGGAAAGTCAATGGGAAGGATGGAAATAAATAGGAGCATATATAAAGCCGTGCATGTATAAAATGTCGGAATGAAAG